AAAAAAAAAACGATGTTTTGGCACTTCATCTACTAATAATTATTACAAAGAATAACCTGGAAATGTCTCAATTTTACAAAGCAATAGGTTCTTCTTTATAGAATTATTTTACTTCCTCCTCCCCTATTATTTATCTCATGATAGGTAATTATAAAATTTCACATACTGTGAAGAAAATGAAAGTATCTTTATACTCCTTGTCCCACTGGCAGCACTACAATTTCTATATAGGAGAGATTTTGGAGGGATAACCTTTGTAGAAATTTTAATTGGTTTTTAAACCTAAATTTCAACAGCACGTACCCAAAACACCTACTTTTTCAGATTGCATGATTACTTAAGAAAAATGGTAGACCCAGGTAAGCTCTAACAGTTTGGTATACATTGTATTTGTGTGAGATACAGTAATATCATTCTGTTAACTTTTGCCATTAAACAGGTTAAAGAATATTATCTCATTATTTCAGTTTTTAAAATTACTCATGTAATTAAAAACTGCTACGGCTTTTGACCCAAAAGATTAAGGTCTTCTACATCTCTCTTTAAATAAAAGAGAGAATCTAATCATCCCATAGACTAGCTCTGAAAACCAGAAATACGTATTATCATTTTACATACAAGAGTGGCTTGTTATCCTCTGGATCATCATCTTCAACTTCCAAAAGCCAGCCATATCCTCTTTGTCTCAGAAATGTAGTAGCTGTAGATTCTTTGATAAAATCTCCACCAAGGTTTAATTTGACATCTGGGGATGCTATCGAACCACTGAGATCTTAAGAGAAAAGAGGACAAAACTGTAAACCAAGGCAAAAATGTGTGAATTTCAACCAAAGTGAGCAGCTATTCAGCTAAAACAATTATCACTAGAAGAGCTCCAAGAACATCTGTTGCTTTATGTAACCTTCAAACTAAATCATCTTTATCTTTCATAAGAAGAAAATGAAAGATGAAAGAGGTGAAAATGGCTTTGTGCAGTGGCTCACACCTGTAATCCTAGCATTCTAGAAGGTTGAGGTAGGAGGAGTGCTTGAGCTCAGGAGTTTGAGACCAGCCTGAGCTAGAGCAAGACCCTATCTCTACTAAAAACAGGAAAACTGAGGCAGGAGGATCCCTTGAGCTCAGGAGTTCAAAGTTGCTGTGAGCTATCATGATGCCATGGTATTCAATCCAGGGCAACAGAGTGAGACTCTGTCTCAAAAAAGAAAAAAAGAGGTGAAAAGATAATTAGCTGGATTGATATCAGAATCTAGGCTTAACTATAGTAACTCTTTAAAATTTAAATGGAAGAGATATATACATACACACACATACACAAAATACATTACATGATATTATTTTGGATTTCTTTATTATTACATAAATCATGTGCTTCAGAATAAATAATTGTATGAATTCTTTTTAG